ACCCCCCACCCCTTTTTCTCTCCCCCCCCTCGCTACACACATGCACACGTGCGCGTGCGCGCGCGCGCACACACACACACACACACACACACACACACACACACACACACACACACACTTACCACCTCTCCAATCTGCCAAGCCATACAGTATATCGAAGCGATGTTTCTTTGCGAAGAACTGCTAAGCCTATGTGAGCTAACTCCTTATCAGCGTAATTGTTGAGCACACATTGGAAGGTACTCAAACAGGCTTGTTTGAGAGTAATCGCAAGCTCAAAAGAGGTGCGCCGTCATGCAGTTCTGACGAGTAGTAGCAATCAAACAAGCAGTCCCTCCCCCCCCCCCACACACACACATAAACACAAACCAGTGCCTATGGGTCAACCAAAAAGAACAACTGCACTGCACGAGGAGGTACAACAACCCATCTTTAAGTGTTATTTTCTTTTTAAATGAAAGTCTGTCGTTATATGGACACACTAGAGCTGTTTACTGCCATAATATTTCTCACCCGTAACTCTTACCACTGGGCTGAGCACTAAGACAAGTCTAGTAGGATAACAATTGAACAGAAACAGATAACAAGATCGAAGGAAGAAAGTACAGCTTATGGTCGAAACATTCGCAAAGACCCATGCCTAAGTTTCGCAATCTCTAACACACAGGCCAGGGACCTCAAGCTGCAATCCAATTTCCTTCCCGTTCAGTAATATTAATTATTTACGATAATTCCAGTGAAAAGCAGAGACTCTTCCAATAAATACACATGCCCCATTCCCCTTTTCCGGCACAACCTCCATCATAAATGCCTTTACAATTAAGCTGATTACACTTAAAATGAAAAGGTAAGGCCCTCATTCGTGTCCTTTCAATTATCAAATACAACCCAGCCCCCCTCCCCAGGAAAATCTGATAATTCAAAGCAGACGCCCAAACGAAAACAACAAAATTATCTTAATACTTCACAGCCCTGTAAATAAAGGCAATGCTAATACAGATAATTTGCAACAAAAAATATGGAGGCACACTCAATAACTTAATAAATAACGACGCACAAAGCTTAAGACATAAATATCAACTTAGGAAACACAAGCAAATTTGTCTGAGATGAATAGCCAGGCTTATTGATCAAGGGCAGATCGTTTAAAAGCACTGGAAGACAGAAAAGAAACACGCACTGTTGAAAAGTCTTGTCTTTGAACACCTTGACACTATTCGCGCAATGATATGCCTCCACAGTAGGAGACAACGACACCGGAGGCTCCCTGGCAACCCCCAAAGATTATTAGTAGAGTATGAAGCAGATTTAAACCTTCAAGACATACTTTTAGTTGCACAACCATTAAAACTCTGTGACAAAGCATAATATGACGACAACAACAACAAAGAGAATAAAAACAGAAAAAACAGCCAAAATAACAGAAACGATTGTCAAAACATAGCGTGCGGCCAGCCAGCACAGTGTGGCTTCCTTTCTTTGAAATATACACATATAGAATCATAACAAAACATTACAGAAGTAAGGAAGAAAGAACAGACCACACACGAACGTAAACCAGCCACCCATGACAGTACCCCCACAAAACAGCAGCTAAGTAAGTGATATGATAATCTTTAAAACATTGCGTGGGTTTAATTAATCAAGAGGAACGCCGGAGCACCGTATCCCCCCCCCCTCTTTTTTTTTCATCGAAGCGCACATAGCTTCCTTAAAAAAATTTTTAAAAATCCACCAAAATAACGCCATACCTCTATAATGTCCTTGTTGGTGCGACTCTCATGAGGTTCGTTGTACTCTGTGTATTTGAGAAGCACTTTGTCCATGTCGGTGCTGGCGTATTGGAACAGTTTGCTGGACGAGTTGAAGATAATGAGCGCTATCTCACAGTCACACAGCACAGACAGCTCGTACGCCTTCTTCATCAGGCCGAACTTGCGTTTGGTAAAAGTCACCTGTGTGTGTGTGTGTGGGGGGGGGGGGGGGGGGGTAGACACGAGAGGCAGTGAGCAAAGACCAAGACTTTACTTACACCTATTTCATAAAGTCAAAATTAGCTTAGTGAAATTCGGATGAGTGTAATCGCAAAGAAGAGTAACACACGCTTGAAAGACGTAACAGCTATAATAATAATAATAATAATAATAATAATAATAATAATAATAATAGCGTTAATAGTAATAGCAATATCAATGATGATACTGATAACAACAACAAAAATAATAATACGATATCATTATTATTATTATTATTATTATTATTATTATTATTATTATTATTATTATTATTATTATTATTAATCAATTAATTAGTCATTTGATCTTTAAAAACCCATAATACAAATCTCAAATCGTCATAGAGTTATAATTAAAGCCCTAAAAACAGCGAACCTTACACTAACACGATCGCTGTGGAACATTGTTGATGAACAGTCAGTGAACACCGGTACGGAAATTGAACACACTTCTGAAAGCTGCTTGAAGCTGCTTGACTTAAAAGTAACCAGATAGCAGTAAAACGTCCATTCCATAACAATTTTACACATTAATACATAAAGTTCCGGTTACTACTCTCATTATCCAGCAACATATTTTACTGACCGACGAAGCCTTTGACAAATTCATGTCCATGTTTTCGTTTAATTCGACTTTCACACTTCCATTTGAAAACTTCTTGTAATTATATTTACTCACGATGTGGATATAGGGGTATGCCATTTTGTTTTACTCAAAGTGCCGGACACCGTCCACAAAATTGCCTGTTTTTGTCTAACTGAGGGACAATGTTTGAAGCCCTCTCTGACCCTGTTTGAAGCGGATAGCTTCGTCTCTGTTTGTCTATCCATATGTCTGCCTGTCTGTATGTCAAAGCTTGTCACAGTTAACCAAGGCTATGTGGAATACATCTGAGCACTAAGAAAGACACTAGCACTTTACAAAAACATTTTTCCCATGTGGAAATTGAACACACGCCGTTCACGTGCAAAGCAGACACCCATAACCATTACATCAAAGGCTCCAGCCCGTTTGTTATTACAGTCATTGCTTAAAACGCCTTCTGTCAACACAATTGTAATAATTTGAGAGGGAGGCTGCTTCTACTCCGCCGTGTCAGGGCCAACTCAAGCTTAGTGGGGTAAACCATCACAGCAGACAACGATACTCAATTTAAAAAAAAAAAGACGAAAAAAAAAGACCCCAAAACAACTTTAGCACTTGGGGAATCGCACTCACTTCATCTGTGAGCAAAAGTGAAGAGCTTAAGTATTTCACCACAGACACAGGTGGTCTGTTTGTGTCTGGTAGAGTGCTGAACTCAAAGACAAACACACAAAGAAGACTCACCTGTCTGTTCCTCTCATCCCCGATGCGGGAGATTTGTATTTTCTTGCGTCCCATGGCTTTGGTGTGTGTCTTGTTGCCCTCCAACGTGATGGCTGTGCTGGGGCGCCGCGAGGCCTCGAACAAACAATCGACGGTGCTCACACTCGATGGCTCTCACACGATCTCTGGAATGCACAGAGGAAAAATGGGGATTAAGATAAACAGCAACTACAAACATAATGACTGCAACACAAAATATGCAGAAGCGTCAACAACAACGCCAAAATAACAACAATAACAGATTTGAAATACTGGTGTAAAAACTACGGCCAAAAAAGTAAACAAGGAACAGGGTCCTGACTCTATATATAGTCTTGAGGAAAATGACGTGAAACAGCGGAAATAGAAAATTCCCCCTTCCTTAACTATTTACAAATAAAAAATTCCACAGACATTTTAAAGTGGACCAAACTACTATTATTCAAAAGCAGACACATTCGTCCTGCCCCAAGGAGCGTGTTCAACAATTTTCGGAAAGACGCCACGTTAAATCGTCCCCCTTCCCCCGCTCCATCCCCTCCGATCTCCAATGTCAGTAACGGTGAACAGAATTCCACGACAGGCTTCTTGGAAAACAATAAGCGTAATAAGTCTGCTGTACGTTCCTCACTATATGGATGTCACCTGACCGGGTGGTGGTTTGTCCAGTTCCTTTTTGAGATGGCATTGATTCAAAGATAAAAACCTTGACGGTTCTGAATAGGACGACAGAGTGACATATCGGAATCACGAACTCGACCTTTAGAGTCTATTAAAGTTTGTTATACTGGTAGAATAGTGCAGTCCAATCCAGACCCGACTGATATTCCTAACGGCAACTTTTTATTTTTATTTTGGTACAGTTATGGTATTTGAAGCAGTACTTTTGTCCGCGTACACCTGCTGATTCAAATAGTTCAGACTTCGAGTAAGTCTAGGTAGTCACGTAGCACTTTTACGGCAAATTAAACCGCACTAAAGAAGGGGAGAGTGTGAATCCTCACGAGTCCCCGTAAAAAATCGTTTTAAAAAATGTGGAAGAACCCCCCCCCCCAAACCCAATAAAACCTCAATAGTTTTAAATTTCTTTCATTCCTTTGATTAGGTAGTTAACAGGTGGTCCGTGAACAAAACAATTAATATTTTAAAATCTTCCCCTTCAGCTGGAGAGCAGAAAATACCCCCCCCCCCCCCCCAGTAGAGCCTGACTAGATTCTAGAACAACTCCGGGTCCAGGGGCAATCGTCCTAACCCGGGTCTCATCCCAGCAATCACGTGTAATCTCTCGGGAGCGGTACAGGAGAGCAGCAGGAGCTGGTGAGTGAGCATGTTTCCCTCAGTAAGCGGCTGTACGGGCTCATGCCATGCCGGCATCTTCCGGCAGGCTCACCACGGCCACTTCTTCGAGTCTAGTTTTTGTTTTAGTACGAGCTTTACAGCACGTGCAACACAAAAAGGTCAAATAAGTGCCGAAGATAAAACGATATTACAAACGACTAACAACCATACAAAAGAAGAAGGAGGGACCAGGGCGATAGACGTTTGACAGGGAAGAAAGAGCTATAACTGCACCATATCACTCGCGAAACACCCGCCTTCTTTGCGTTTGGGTACAGAGAAGAACACCCACACAATACACAATAACGACCATTTAGTGCAAGGGAAAACGCAAGGTAAACAGGCCGAAACAACAGCACGGGAACAAAGACGTTCTGGAACACAGTACAGAAGTAACGAACAACGCGGACAATTTTGTCTTCTGTATTGTTTCCTCACAGAAGGACGTTTCAACGGCCGAACATTTGGTCCAGGCGTAAGTGTAAAGAGTAGGGAACGCCGTATAGGCAACACGAGAGAAGGAACACGGGAGAAAATATCATGTACGTACACCATATGATACTTGAATACTGCTTGGGAGAAAAACGATAGTCCGATTTTGGTGACTTTAAGAAATCTTAAGTTTTTTTTTATCTTCGGATGTCAATGCGCGGTATTCCATTATCAAAAGTGCTGCATCATATTTTGTGTGTCAATGTATTTGTCACACCTAATTCTGTCAAGAGGAAGACCTTGTAAATGATTGATCATTATTTTTGTGTTGGGAGGTGCTAATCGGATAAATCAGATTCAGGTGAAATTTATGTGGGCCAACTATAGCTTGCCCGATTTCGTCTGTCTGCAGTTAAAACGGGATAAAAACAAATCCCTCTATTTAAATAACCTGCTCAGGTCTTTGCATGAGGGTATTAAAGTTGGGTGACCACCAGAATCTGAAAACCCATTAATGAAGGCCACAGCAAAATACGGTTCCGATATCTTTTTCTTTGAAGTAAGCATAAAACATATTAAAATATTATACAATTTACAGCATATATACATGAATACACCTAAAACATTCACAAACCAAAGAAACACGGCCCAACAGACAGGCGAATACTTTTCGAGACGTACTTCGTGACTTCTAGTTCTAGACGGTCTTGGGGTGAAAAACTACGTGATTTCACTGGCATAAGGTATCAAGGTGGTGTCGTTGTCTCATTATGAGAATTTATAGGTGATCTTACTGTAACCATTGATTGCATAGAAAAGGGCAGTGTTTAAAATAAGGGTCAAATAAAACCAGGGACATCACATTTTTATCTTTACTATCAAGACATTATATAAACCCATCCTGCTCAAAGTCCTATTCCCACCTCCCCGTTGGTGACAAGAGGTAAAACTTGCAACTTAATAAATTCGATTAACTGTATTGGAGTACAATTTGTGGCGAAACGATAGTTTTTATGTAATTTTTCTACGGTAAACGTTGTGTCGTCATTGTGGCGAAACGTCGGTCCGAGACGTTTCGTCGCAAAAGACGCAACAAGGGGACTACCTGCCCGAAGTCTGACAACTGAAAAATAGATGAAGAGATGCACATGCCGTTGATTAAACGTTAGGGTTAAGCCGGGCCACATACCTTAACCACAGTAGAAGCAACAACAATACCCGCTACCCAAGGGAGGCTGTGGCCCTGGCGAAGAGCACGCTCTTTGGGGCTCCAAACATTTCGAACGGATAGGCTACCACACACACGCAACAACAACAATAGCAGAAACAACATAACAATAGTAAATCAACGACAGCAATAGTAACAACACAGTAACAATAACAACAGTGGGTACAGTGATATAAAAATAGTAACGACAAAGAAATCTGAGATACAAACATTATAAGCAAAAATCTTCCTGGAAAAGAACAAGGACAATAGAGATATGGCAGTTACTGGAAAAATTTTGAATCAATTGGGACGTTACGTGTCAATAAGAAGGCAGAATGCTTCGTTCCTTAATGTTAAGGTCAATCCAAGGTAATAGCAACATCCCACCAAAGCAGAATAAATACTTGACAAAATAAATTCCACAAGCGGAAATCGCTTCAGAACTCGAGTCTAATGTTGTACGCATAGAGCCTGATTATGTTTAGTTTTTGCATTTGCAACGCAATAAGGTCATATAAGTGCCGAAGATTAGAGGTGTTACAAGAGAGTAACAAACACACACAAAAAAAAAAAAGAAAAAGGAGAGATAAGGACGGCAGCTGTTTGAAAAGAAAATAGGAGACAAAAGCGTCAGGGCACCCACCAACCACCCATAGAGCTTGATTATGATGCTCGAAGAGGACGAAAAAGATGAAGAAATAAAAGAAAAGTGAGGAGGAAAAGGAAAGGAGAGATAGAACTCAGAGCAGCCCGTACGGAAAGAGAAAAGCGAAGAACAAGAGAAGGGAGCGAAAGAGGAGCAAGAAGAGGGGAGAGAAAGACGAAGGAAAAGAGGGGAAGAGAAAGGAGCGGGGAGAAGAGGATAAACTGATAGAGGATGAGCTGGAAGACAAAACGTGGAACGGAAGTAGGAGGGGAGAAGAGGAAGAGGGAGAGGAAGGAAGAAATCAGAAATGAGCGGATGAGCAGTGGGAATAGCAAGAGGTGAAGGACGAAGTGGAGAGGTTTAAAAAAAAGAGGGGGGGGGGGGGAATAAGTAGAAGTTCGAGTAAGGAGAAAAAAAATCGACAGAATAGAAATCGGTGCGAAAACAGTAATGCTAATAGACAAAAAAAAACAACGGGCAAGGAAAGAAGTAGGACCTACCAGCTGCAGCCTCAACTACCCTGTTGGGAAGAGAGGAGGAGGGAGAGAAGGGATAAAGAAAGATAAGAGGTGTGAAAAAAGTAAGAAGAAGAAGGAAGAATGGGATACGGAGAGGCAGAATCGCACCTTCAATATAACTGAGTCCAAAGCACATCTAGAATTCTATTGATAATGATTTATTAAAGACACAGACATTCTACTTATCTGGTCTGTCACTAACCGATCGGCGGACGGATAGACAAATCAAGACAATTTGGCTGAAGATAAAGGGGCGGGAAAAGCCTAGAATTGTCAGGGGGGAAAAAAGAACAAAAACAAACAAAACACCCC